TACAAGTCAAGCTTTTTAACTTGAACCGTTTAAGACATATCACGGCAATATAAGACCAAATAACAAAACAAAATGATGATGAACTATAGAAAACCTAGATATTGTCTACGTATTTGTGTAAACAACAAAGTGACGTAATGTCGCTATCAGAGTTCTGATTGGGTAATACTTGATAAAACACTGTTCATAATGTTAAGGGGAATACCCGGAATTATCCTTAAGATAAGAACCCGGATGTATACTCTCCAGACGTTTCCACTCATCTAATGTAGATCTTGGTTATTTGCAAGTAGCTGATGTGTATTATGTTCAGACAATCAGTCCGTTGAATTATTGATTTTGTATTGAATTGAAAACTAACAATTTTTCCCTGACGTTTGGTATTTTAAAATTTTATCTCTGCGAATCCGTAAAATATGTTGTGTTATGATCCAAACTTTGTCTGGTTTTTGTTCTGCCTTTCCTTATCACTATGGTCCCGCTAGACACATAGTTAATGGGCGTTTGACAATTTTTCATCACGTGAAGCTGTGAGAGTTTTTCATGAAAGGCCCAAAATATTAGGAAATCCTTCCATTAATACTAGATAAAAATGCTGAACTACAATAATTTAGATTGCTATTAATTATGAAGATACGGACCTCCCTCGTATACGCTGGATTTCCAAAACCTTACCAGAATTCATCAAATCGGAGTTTTAAAACTGACTCGCCAAATCCAACCATACAATTAAATCGCTGTTAGTTTTATTGTTATTCGATGAATAAATTGTAAGAGGATTTTAAAGACCCCCTAAAGACATTGTGACCAATCTTGTAGACCCTCTTCTAAAAATATTATTCTTCTACAAAATCTTCGACGTTTCCACACTGTACACTAAAATACCCCATACCACACTGAAGAAACGCTGACGTTCTTTCGTTTTGAAAAGGAGAAACAAGAGGAGATCAAAATTGTAAAATCAATGATATTCTGATTGAAAATACCTACGTCAGTTTTGGTGGTAAGATTTTCCAACACACAATAGGTATACCTGTGAGAACAGATTTGGTGTTGAGATCTTAAAACAGGCTGTTGACATACCTTACTAACTGTGCCCCTCTATTCATTGTGGTGTTTTCATTCTAATCTGAATTTACCGCAAAGCTTACTAAAGTTGGTCACAAGACATTGTCAAATCCTTCACTTTAGTTTTCGATATATTGATGACGTCTTTTCTTTAAATAAAAAATGAATCTATGAACCATGACAATCGTATATACCTACCAGAAGTAGTCAAGGACACGACAAAGCGTTCTACATCAGCACCATACCTCTATCTTTACCAACATCGAAAGCAACAAGTTCAACGTTTAATCAAGCGGTGTGGTCTTTTTGACTAATCATATCTACCTACTGCGAATTATCCACTGATTGATAACAACTTTCTTGCTTCCAGAAACCTGTAGTGTTTGCATGCAGATATTGAAGGGTTTTTCTTTGCAAGGTTACTGACCACAGACTGATAAACTCACAACACATGGTTTCAAGAGATGTAATTCATCGAAGATTGTGTGAAAGTTTTAAGGTTGCCATCATGATCCCATTGAAAAAGGCTTGAAATTTGCCGTGTTTGATATCCATCTTTATTCCTGGGGTTCCGTTGCTGTCTATCGTGTTCTCTTTTGTAAACGTGACACTATTTATTTAGACTAAGATTTCATCGTAGATGAAGAAGACGCTTACCCTTTCGGAACGCCTTGTCTTACTTTTATATAAATATTTGTGCATTTTTAAAACAATATTTACCGTAGTTTTATCGAATTTGAAAAAAAAAACAAATTAAATTCGTTGCTACTTTGTCCCTCAAATTCGTAACTACATGAGAGATAATGTTTAAAACAAGTTTGTTCTCAATCTAGTTTTGCCTCTTCTCTCTTCCACTAAAGCGGACTTGTTAGAATATTCTTAGTGTGTCGAGATTTTTATCGATACTGAGACTTTAGATGAATAACCTTATTGTAGAATTGTCTTTGGTTTACATCTTCTTAGTCTTCATTTGATTGATTTCAAATCACTTTCATATCTGTTCAATAATTACTTCATACATAAACAAGTACATCATAGTTTCATTGAATCATTACTTTTTTCATTTTTTTTCATCAACGGCCTTTTAATTAGAACTAGTTATTTTTATGGAAAGTCTTTCATTGCTTTCTGATTCGGTTACATTGGTACAAATCAGGAGGAACTAAGACTTTTTCTGATATATCTTTTCTATTGGAAATTAACTGAATGATAGAGCGCTTTTCGTCCGGTTTCTTTGTTTTTTGTTTTTGTTTTTTTAATGCCTTACAAAATGTATTTGTCAGCTTGTATGGTCTAGTTAGTTTCCCAAGATATATTATACCAGCTGTCATTTTCGGGAAATTCTGATTTTCGTTTACCAAGGATTATATCCAATCGTGATTTTTTTTTTAAAAGATTAAGGAGGGTAGCGAAAAGAATATTCTTTTTCACAGCTTAAATACATTGTGCATAGGGTATTAGCAGAGTGATAATGATAATAAACTTTATTTATTTTACAACAATCTCGAAGAAAGTTTTCCCAAAACTTACATTAGCCACTCTTGTTGGCTCGGATGGAAGCGCGCGAGGGGTGTTACTGTGGGAGGAAACCGGAATACCCGGGGACAACCCACGTGGTAGGCTATCCCATACCTTTGGTAGAGTAATTCTCAGTCTTGTTTTCTATTTTAATCACATCTTCTACGATATCTTGTATACACCTATCACATGTCAACAGATGATAAAGCTGTTATGCTGACCTAAATACACTTTAAATAGGATCATCGGATAGACATTGTAAATTCCGAGTCTGTACTTTAAATGGAAACATGAAAGACACTTTATCAACGAAAATATATTTCAGAACCTTTGTTGAATAGACGAATTAAGATTTATCCTATTTCTCTACACTTTTTAATCAGAGTGTAATTTACTTTGTAATATATTCAAAAAAGTAGTTTCTTTAATTCAAATACTTATAAATATAGAATATGAGACGAGTTTAAGCATAGTAAGTTGAAATATTGCATTTCCTGTCAATTTGTTAAGAAACTTAACCGCATGTGATGAATAATGACGAGACGTAATGCTATAAAAATGTAGTATATATGTGATGTGTGTTCTTATTCACGTCACTATAAGGTCCAGAAATTCTACCGGAAAATATTTCCGATCATCTAGATCTTTATCAGTTCTGTACGAATAGTCTTTAATGAAACATTAAACTCAACAGTAGCAATGAAAATGCACGCCATCATAATGTACTAATATATTGACTGTTCATTTTACTTGCAAACCATCATACACATGTAAATTTTATGAAAGATATTTTAAATTGAAACATTCGTTGTACTTAGAATTATTTGCATCGTACTTTCCAAAGAAGAAAAATCTTACCTCTTGAAAAAAAGGCCTTATAAGGACATAATCATAATCCAAACTGATATTCAATAAAAACCTTGGAAAATATCAAGTAAAGACCGGACACTCCTGAAAAAGTACAAGGATAATAAAATCAGGTGTTCTGGAGGAGTAAGCGACTTCATTCCAAGTAAGTAATGGGCAATATCCCAATTAGAACAAGGCATACAAAATATTAATTTTCATTTCAACCAATGTTATACATTCTTTTGTCTTCGGTTTTTTTTATTTTCTTAGATATAAAGAAAGTATGATAATAGGATACATTTGTATCTAATCCCAATAATAATTACAATGTACCTTCAGAATTCTCCAACAATGACGTTCAGAAATCGTAAACAATATCAGGATTAATATTATGAATTAACTGATGAATATAAAGTTTAAAATATATTATACATATATATAATATATATATAACTTAATACATTATATATATATATATATATATATATATATAATATATATATAACTTAATACATTATATATATATATATATATATATATAATATATATATAACTTAATACATTATATATATATATATAATACACATACAAATACCTCTTTACCAAAAAATATCTTCACCATCAAAAAATATTTTCATTCTGATAATCGTGAGATTGCGCTAACTTTAAGATAAACAAATTCCCTTAATTGTCTAAACACTCCATTTAGGCGTTTTAACGACCACAATAACATGTTATTACTGAAATCATATTTCATTAACCAATTGAATAAACATATCCAACAGCCGCTAACCTTCAACATTTCTTTTTAATGCTACTAACAAAACATTTTCCATCAGGGTGTACGTAAGTATAAATTTTCTTATTTCTTTTTCTATTTTTAAATATCATCAGTCCTTAATGTCCAACCCACATTGTCTATATTTTAGGGCCTGTATATTACGAGTTTCTATAACGACAAAAACTGACAAAACCTTATTACAAAGAGTTTTAAGAGACGTTTTGTGATACCCCGTCATAATCTAATTCTATTCAATGTCTATTAGTATGACTGGAATCATTGTACTATATATAGTTAACAATTGATACTAGTATAAAAATCCGCTCTCATTTGGTAATAATGAGTTACACAGATTGACCAAAGTTTACTTTTCATACATTTCAATCGTCATAATACTAAAAACTCCCCCGAATTATCTCTTTTTATTGTATTTTTATTTTTTCAATGGTCAGTGAGTCTGACGCAACTCTTAATGTAAAGCCGTTGCAACGCTTATTGTAATGATTATTACATTAAGCGTCGTTATTACATTAAGAGTTGCATCAGCGTCTGTTGTAACTATAACTCGAGCTGTGTCAGCTATAAATGACATGCATTCAGACAACGATACAGAAAACAATCAAACAGCTATATCGGACATCATTCATTGACTTCCATATTTTTACGAGAAAGAAATTATTTCCGATAATATCATCTTTGTTCGTTTGTCCACAGTAGTCAACAAAGTAGAATTGTTTAACTATATAATTAGCAATAATTGTCAAACTCGGGAATTAGTGAAATGTTACACCTGTTGACTAGGATTCCAGTTCTTGTACGCTCGAGGGTAGTATCGTTGACTGATCGACATGGTCATGCGCGGACAGGATAACTTCATATCCGGTGGTTCTGATTTAGACTTTGTACATTTAGTTAAACAGTTCCGCACTTCCGTTGCAACCGTTTGTTGATTGGCCAGTCTTTCACTACACCTTTTGATGTCAGCTGATGAAAATGATGTCACGGACCTATTCAAAGTAAACTCGGGGGCGAGGTGTCTCGGCAAAGCATCGTCGGCGAGGCTTTTTCTTTTAGTAGGTTTGCTCATCCGGTTAACCATCTTGTTGATATACTTTTTCGACAAAATATCAAACGCTGGTGCCCTTGGCACGTACACACGATACTCCAAGTTGTATTCAAATCCCACTAATGTTTGGGGATCAGTTCGATGTTTGTATCTATGTTGAGGTATGACCGGAAGTTTAGCTTGTGGTCGTTGCATTCGGGAACCACTGTTTCCGGCGTAGATATTCTTCAGATCATGGTTAATGATGTGATGATATGTCGTACTAAATGCCATCCTCTTTTAAATGGTACAGATAAACTGGTAGTGTCCGGTCAATGAATGGTAGAGGATGGTGTATGGGTCACCTCCAAACTATACAGTCGTGCAACCTGATTGATCCCGGAGAGGTTTCACGATGCCGTGTTCATGCGAACTTGGGAAATGATGATATTTTTTTTTTTACAAAACTTCGCAGCTCACAACAAAGGCATGACTTGGGTCAATTCGTGAAGACGAGACAGTCCGTTTTACCTCTACTTAGAAGCAGTGCATGTGAGATTTGGTGCAATCGCACAATCTACAAACATGTAGTGATAGGACCAAACCAGCGGCGTTCCATTTAGATTGAGTATCACCGGCTGAATGAAATAATCGAATGAAAAACACTTTGCACCAAAAACGTTAAAGAAATACACAGCATTTTCAAACCTTGACAAATAAAAACGAACAAATACGCATGTGTTTCATAAGATAATTTTTTTTATTATTATTTTAAGTTGGGAAATGTTTCAGATAACAGGAGATTAAATTCATTGGAAAACTCTTTTATCAGTATAGGCAGAACTGTGTAAACAGTTGTCGCACGAAAAGAAATAAATACCTGATTGGTTTTTATTGATCTACTTTTTCGACGCGACATGTTTGATTTAAGTATTTTGTTGCTAAAGAGAACTAAAACTAATTGATGTTAAGCGCCAAAGTGTAACTAACCTATCACAAACAATCCAGCTTTCATGCTTTTCGTCAGAATCTAGTTTCACTTTTTTGAAACAATTCGGAAAGAGACATTTTAACGAAGACGTAAATGTAGAGAGGTTAACAAAGGGATGATTTTTCCTTGCCGGTCACTTTTAGTACACGATTTCACTCAAGGATTTTGTCCCGTTTATATTTATATCTTTGACAAATGTTTGCTTACAATCATTTGACAATCTCTTTGATATACCAAACGACAAAAAAACCTTCCAATTTGTCGGCCCTGGAACTGAAGCTTATGTGTAAAGACGCAATCGATAAATATTTGTCAGCTTGAAGTGGGTAAGCCGTGATAGATTTAGTAGATTTGGTAGTAGAAAATAATTTACCTTTATCAGCGTTAAATTTTAGGTCTTCTTGGTCCCGTTTCTTGAATAGTAAAAAATGTCCATTTTCTCTGTTGGACCATTGTTACGCCTGTACTTAATGTCCTTTCATTTCTTCCTATATAATAGCCGCCCATTGGCGTGACCCACAAATTCAAACACAACCAACGGAAAAATAAAAAAACCCGATTCATTTTTACATTGGTACTAGCTAGGCAAATTTCACATACATTATATGTGTCATTCTAGAATCTGATAGTAAACTTATAATATGCAATTTAACATAAAAATTCATGTATGTTTGTTAGGGTCTCGACATTATACAAATCACTTCGAGTGAGTTTTTTTTTCAGAAAACTCTACTATCTAGACGCAAAGTTGTCTCTATGAAAATTCAAATTTCACACTTTTTAAATGCTCCACTTTTCACCCTGACAAAAAAAGCATGATAATGATAGACAATCATAGACCAAACAATATTTCAAATATACAGCACAATGGGTCTCCCTGTTTGAAATTACAGTATACTGTCTCCCTGTTCAAAATTACAGTATAGTGTCTCCCTGTTTAAAATTACAGTATAGTGTCTCCCTGTTTAAAACTACAGTGTAGTGTCTCCCTGTTCACAGTATAGTGTCTCCCTGTTTAAAATTACAGTATAGTGTCTCCCTGTTTAAAATTACAGTATAGTGTCTCCCTGTTTAAACAGTGTAGTGTCTTCCTGTTTAAAATTACAGTATAGTGTCTCCCTGTTTAAACAGTGTAGTGCCTCCCTGTTCAAAATTACACTTTAGTGTCTCCCTTTCCATATGATTAATGTCGTTAGCAGATATTTATGTCTCAATCTATTGAAATTATGTTTTCTATTAATTGATACAAGATGTAATTTTAAGATGCATACAATTTCTCTTTCCTATCCTAACTGTGTACCTGTACCCCTGGGGTTTACACATGTGTACTTCTACTATGTCATTCATTTACGTTTATGTTAAAATTCCAGAAACCTTCATTTAAGATTTAAATATACTTCATTTCTACAACTAAATGAAATTTATATAAAATCTACAACAACAAGTGTTAGGATATTGTGATATCCCAACAACCGAATAATGATCATTAAAAAAATCTATAGCTACAAGGCAAATGCAATGTTTGTACTCCTACACCATAACTCAGCTAAGACTAAAATATCCTTACAGCTACAGTGACGTGACATAAGTCTTTCACGTTTATTTACCTTACGTTATATCTTTTACATTTCTAATTTCTTTCCATGAATTCTCTTGACAACGTTTAGGGATTGATTTTGACAATTTTTGCCATTTTTTAAACAACAATAGCCATAGTTTCTTCTCTTAATACTCGTTTAGTTTTCCGTTGTTTATTTCAGGAATGATACGAAATGACCTCCACTGCTAATTTTTGTGTGACGCTATTTACCTATATTCCTTACAAAAATGACGTCAAATTGACGTCCCGAAAATCGCACGCTGCAAAGAAATGATAACTTTCGTGGTACTACACAGCAGAAAAAAATGGAAATTGAATCAGATGAAACAGGAAGCGATTCCTCATAAGTGTACAAAATTGCATAAAAAATTATCCGTGAATGAAGTCAGGAAAATTCATTGAAAAAGGTAAGAAATACACAGACTATTTAGTAAAATAAAATAAAAAAAAAACAAACACGTGACACGCCACTGTAAATGTAGATTGTTTACATATCCAACTTTAAATAAATTGTATACTATTGCAAGCAAATTTAAATTGCATACCTCTATAAGTGAATTTAAGTGGTATGTCATTATAACAAATTTAATTGTGCATGTTTATATTTAAATTTGCATTATCGTTTTTTTCCGTTTTTGTTAACATAAAATTAAAGGTGGATATTTTGTAGAATTCCATACTACGAATAGAAATCTATAAAAGTGCAAAGATAAATATTCATTAAATAGAAACTCTATCCTAATATTTAAACAAGTCACGTCGAGTTGCTCGCATACCAGTGTTTGTAGGCTCGTGGATAGTACCGCTGACTGATGGATTTGGTCATGCGCGGACAGGATGACCTTATATCCGGTGTTGCTGATCTAGTCCTGATACACCCGGTTAAGCATCTCCGCACTTCTGTTGAGACCGTCTGTTGATTGGCCAGTCTTTCACTACAATTTTTTATTTCTGTTGCTGAAAGTGATGTCATAGACCGGTTCAAACTTAACCCGGAGGTCGCGTGCTCCGATTTCGTATCGTCGGTAAAATCATGACTCGTTTTGGGTCTGTGCATCCGGTCAACCATCTTGGCGATGCTTTCTTTCGACATAACATCAAATGCTGGTGCCCTTGGCATGTAAACTTGGTATTCGTGGTTATATTCCATGTCTTGGTTCCTTCTTCGAGACGCTGCTGAGCATGCGTGCCTTTGTGGTTGTATTACCGGAAGCTTAGATGGTGATCGTAAAATTCGTCCATCAATACTTCCGGAATAAATATTTTTCAGGTTATGATCGAGTATACTGTGATAAGTGGTACAAAACGCCATTGTCATGTCAACACGGAAATTCAGCTGTTATAGACAACAAACTTAAACACAGGAATGCCGCCGATCTCTCTCTCTCTCTGTCTCGGTTCTGTCTCACCATTCCCCGGGACAAAAGACTTCCGTGACTTGTTCAACAGCAGTGTCACTATCACCTCAATTTACATCAGAACTGAATCCAGGTCATCACAGATATTTCACTAACTTTTACATTCACACACATAGTAATATGACACGGCTTTTCACCAAGTGATTTTTAAACCCGTATCAAGTATATTAAAACTAATACCCAGCAGAAAGTAAAACAGCAATGTCTGACTGAGATTGTGTAGACACCTTCCGAAATCTACCTAGGAGCAGACAAGGTATGGCAATTCACAAGTACCTCCGTCTTCTTTAAGACAAAAAAGCACGGTCAAGATATATGACATAGCTGAATCTCCAGTAATAAATCACTCGTGGGCAGTAGCATGAACTATCAGCCTTTCTTTTACTCTTACAGGTCGGGGAATACCCGAGATAAGGGAAGTTTAATTTCAATTGGAAACCCCATTTATCAGTATATCATAGTGTTGTGTAAACAGTTGTCGTGACGAAATAAATTCCTGATTGACGTTAACCCATTGAATGATTCGGACACGAATGATTTGACATAAACCTTCCTGTCGCGAGAGTAAACAGAGTTTTTCACTGCGTGCTTACCTAAAGGCGTCATGTTAGCAGGTAGGTTTTTAATAAATCACATACATATCACCTTCATATCGAAATATATTTATGAATTCTTCCACCACCTCTCTTACGAACTATTATAAGGTGTAAACTTGTCCACATTAAAGAGATCTGTTTCCTTACAATGTCTGATAAACATGATCATCAGACCTGACAAAGCTTAAAAAACAAGTGCTGTTTTATAACATTTTTCTGCAGTAGGCAATAAAAAGTAAACGAATACCAGTTTTATCCCTTAGGCTTATTTCTTGTGTGGTGAGAATGGTTAAGGCTTAGTCACCAAGAGGTTACCGCCCAAAGTTTGGCTGCCAGGGCACACCAATAAAAACATTCACGTGAGATATATTACTAAGCTATGTACATTTTTGCGTGTGAAAATAACACTTTGGGGCAGTTTAAATGGTTGTAATGTAAAGAAAAACAAACGCTGGATACTTAATATTCTTAATGGTAACCTCAAATCAACATCTTCTCTATCGGTAAAGAGGCCATATTTATTACAGAGGTCATTTCCGGTAGATTTATTATAGAGGCCATGTCCGGTAGATTTGAGAAGTATGACTCCGGACTCTACATCATTAAAGAGGTCATTTCCGGTAGATTTATTATAGAGGTCATGTCCGGTAGATTTGACAGGTATGACTCCGGTCTCTACATAATTAAAGAGGTCATTTCCGGTAGATTTATTATAGAGGTCATGTCCGGTAGATTTGGATTGTGTGACTCCGGACTATGCATCATTATATAGGTAATGTCTGGGAGATTTGAGAGGTATGACTTCGGACTCTACATCATTAAAGAGGTCATGTCCGGTAGATTTGAGAGGTATGACTCCGGACTCTACATCATTAAAGAGGTCATTTCCGGTGGGTTTATTATAGAGGTCATGTCCGGTAGATTTGGGAGGTATAACTCCGGACTCTACATCATTATATAGGTCATGTCTAGTAGATTTGGATTGTGTGTCTCCGGACTCTACATCAGTAAAATAGTCATGTCCAGTAGATAGGATTGGTACGTAAATCACATCTCTCCTTCTTATGACTGTTAACGGGGTCAGAGGTCACTCAGCGTACATCTGTCAGGTGGTAAACCACATCTAACACTATTCTGACGTGCCCTGACCTACCTCAAACATTAGGTACACAAAAAGTATGCAACGTGCAGGTGTACACAGACATCATTTGTTCCGTTGACTTGTTATGTTTCTGCCTGTAAACAAGGCTAATTTGGGACTAACCTAAACAATTGTGGGCTAACAAATTAAATAAGATTCGTTCAAAAAAGATATATTGATGTGTTACATTTACTACATGAATTACTCAACAGCAGCAGTTATATCACGGTTGGTTGACTTTTTGTGCAGCGTGTGTAACGTCAAAAGCTTCGTGTGCAGTGTTCACATCATAGTTTAACATGTCCGCTAGGTAATAATTATATATGTATGAGCGGTAGATATGCTCGGTGTTTGATAATTAAAAGAACAATATCTATCTATCTTATAACATGCATGCCGGGCTTGTAATAGTGTTATATATCAGGTCTGTGATATAAGTATAACAAACAAATCTGCCCAGTGTATGATAATTAAAGCAATGGTCCATACGAACGATGTTTAATGATCTATATTACATGTAAATATGCCGGATGTGTAATAATCTTATTACAGTTCAATATGTCATGTGTGTGAAAAATCATATTACATGTAAATATTCCGAACTTATAACAAATCACAAAGTCATGCAGTATTTCCTGTGTGTAATTGTCATATTATCCGATATGATAATACAGATACATATAAGTTATTTGTAATTAGTGTATAACCGGTCCATATGCCCAATGGAGAATAATGATGTGACCGTGATTATTTTACACGGTATGAACAGTGTGTGTAAATTTCCTGAACATTTGAACAAGGTTAGAATGAAGTATATACATATTTTGTAATTAGGTTAGCATACTGATTAATTATAACTTATCACCGCTAATCAACACTCATCACTCTAACCAAGGCATAATATCGGGTAATTTCACCCCTCAGCCAACACACTATTCCTAGTCCAACTGTAACAGGACATTAAGACGAAAACAAAATTTTAGAAACTATACTGACATAATTTTTACACTCCTAAATATACTTTGAGGCTATTTCAGTGTCACCATTGAAAATAAACGGGGAAATCCCCCTAATTATTGCAGAGGATGGATTTCAAAACGAGGCACTCTTTTGTAAATGATGAGTGCCGCATTTTGTACTGTCAGTAGTGGTTTAGGCTAAAGACCGGTTTGTGAGGTTTTGTCTATAAAGTACATATGTCATGTTAGGATATAACCGAAACCTTCTTCAGTTTACGTATTTAAAACGTATTCAATTCAGTCGTCACCATTTCCTCTCGGTCAATCATAAGGCAAACACTGTTATTGTATTATTCCTTTCTGATAATTTCATACAAATTGCAAACTTATGTGTGTCATATTACCACGCGATGCCATGTAAAATCTGTTTAAACAGTACAGCTTACAAATGTGACAATTATTTTGGTAGACTTTGATTTACAAGATCACGGGCGGTCAATGGCTAACTATACTAACTCCCTATTCTATGAAACCTGCGCGTTTTGCGTGACCGGTTTTGTTCGCCACCGCTCCAGGCGGGTCACAAATATTTGTGCAATCTTGTGAAGTCCCATCTTATCGCTGACATAACTTTTTACATGTAGGTTTTCTACTTTTTTATCTGCTTGAAATTTCTCATTTATTTCTCAGCGAAACAATTCCCTTTAAGGAAATACACGTCTTTTAATTCAAAAGAGAATTAAATCTTACTGTCCCTTTATCATCGCCTGTTGAATTTCATTTGTTTACACATATAGAAATGTTATTTCTCTTTGAAGTAGGAGATGTGCACCCGATACCGAAAACCAAGATGGCCGAGACAGATTGTCTGATAATGCCCTTTCCCTTGCACCTGTTAAGGTCATCGTCACCTTTTATTTGACATGTAACGGTGTCTGAATATCCACTTCATCTGGTCGTAAGCTGTTGAAGAAGCAGTCGTCCTTTGATGCTGGCAAGTTATAATGTACATTATTGGTGTTAATAGATACGTATATCAGGTTTATCAAACGGTCCGGTCATTTCAACCTTAAGACATCATTTAGACAGCATTAACACTGTAAATATGTTACAGTTGTCAAATTAGCACCAGTTGGAAGGTATTCTCGGACATATTTGACAAAACGCCTATCAATCTGTGTCATCTTTGATGCAGAACATCCATATGTTACAGTGCAGAGGTTGAATGGATATGCCGTCGAACTCCATTTGTCATTTTCGGTGGCCGGAGTCTTTTAAATGACGTGACAAGCGACCTATGTATCCGCCTTGTGTGTTCACTTCAGCTTCACATTCGAACGTCACAGCCACCGAAGGCAGAGTTGGTCGGACTGCTCTAACACCCGGACGTCACGGTGATAGGGCTGATTTCCAAGTCCATCTAGTAGTGTAGAATCGGCCATCCTCAACAAAACCATGAAGACCCTACTATTCTGCTTGGTTCTCACGACCTTGATAAGCTTGGGACTGTGTGCTTGTAAATACAGGCCGGGACGCCGTCAAATAACAGGTTGGTTAAAGCTATGTTAATTCACGTACAATTTAATAACAATTTTTTTGCTCGATTTTGATAATTTGATATAACTGTTTAAAATATTCCAATTGTTACTGTAAAACAGGTTATTTTCGCGGGGATTATATTTTCGCTATTTCGCGGTATATAAACATGATAGCGAAAATCAAATCCGTGAAGTAATGAGACACATATGTATTAAATGTCATTTTAAATTCAGATCATGGAATTTTAATTCGTTCAAATACAATTCAATCATTTTAAAAGAAAATCGCGAAAATTTTGACCCGAGGAAATTACAAACTATACAGTATTTAATAAGAATACATTAAGATAAGTTAACTGAAAACTCATGGGATACTAAACAAATAAATTATACCGTTATAAGCAATAACATTGTTCTCAGTAACAGGAATAATAGGTATTCAATATGTTTCTGTATAAAATAAAAACACACTGATGCCAAGTAGTGTACGATCATATTGTATAACAAAAGTATTGCCGGAAATGAAAGGAAAACGTAGCACGGGTTCGTGTGATTAAGCAATTTTTTTTAAAATACACACACATACACTTGACTAAAATATATACATTTCTAATACGTGTACTGAATTAGCAGCATGATTGATGAATGGTATTTAGTCAAAATCGTTTAAACGGTTGATTTCGGGCAAGCGTTTTAATACTTAAAATTAGACTCTTCACAAAATTAAACACTCTCTGAAAGAAGTTGAAAAAGATTATCAGCTTCAAACTAACGCTAGTCGACACTCGCTGTTATGTCTACCTCCCATCGCTGTTTTGATCGGGATTAGCAGAGATCATCACGTGGCCTTACGGAGCCTCGTTTCAACCCGCCGTTTTCATCTGATTTTTTTACTATGTATAATTATGTAATTAGTCAAAACTTGATTTGCATGACATGTTTCAATTTTTACTTTGTAAAATTACCTCTTGTTTCACATTGTACGCGTGACAGATTGCAATAAAAGAATTTAAATTAATCTGAATCTAAAATTGCATGCGTAAAGACATTGTTTACACTCTCCGACTTCGTGTTGGGTCGCTCCTATTTTATTGTAATTTTTTGACGCTGTTAATAAAATGGTTATGCAAACTTTAAAATTTTTTAAAATAATTAACAGAAAGAACACAATTTTTAACGGATATTTTAATGTTATAATGCTTTTTAATAGTTATGAAATGAATATAACTATTTAGTAACTTTAAAGAGCCAGACCCACTCCGTTATAGATATTTTTTCATATTTTATTGACTGGAAATGTTGTTGTATACTAATACATAATATATAAATAAAGACTTATATAAAGTTTCGAACATGAAATTCAAAGGGTACCGGAGATATCGGTGCCGGAATTAGTCTCATTAATCAACACTAGGATATGAATATTGATGAGGAAAAGTCACGTGATACGTTCAGACGCGGTTAGAACCAAAACTAAAATGGAGGAAGAGGTGAGTAGTACGTCCATGTGACACCGCTTGTAAAGAGATTTTACCGATAAATGCAAAAAATACTCTATATATTCTGTATGGAATCATCTAACGTATGTATTGATCACATCTTTCAATGCTTAGCTATGATAAATGCAAAAAATACTAACGAACTATATATCTTGTATGGAAAATGATGTATACTACACGAGAGAGCCAAACAGAGAGCGATACGAATGCTTCAGAGTCCGTCAAAACACATTTTCTTCCCCGCTTCCCTCGCACGCTTTCTGCCATGTTGGAAGACGGCAGATTTATTTACAGTTCTTTGCGCATGCGTCAGAGGGCATGGCTTCCCGCATAATTATGAATTAGCGCTGAGTCGTTTCGAATTCTTTTTTAAAACTATTTATTACGTTAGATTGGTAGCGATTTACTTTTAAAATGCAGTATTACAGGGTTAGTCAGAACAGAAAAATAGAAAATCGTGATTTTTTTTGGGATATAAATTAATGTCGGTCAAGGAGTGGGTCTGACTCTTTAAGAAATCAAAACACAGCACCAGATATAAACCAGTTACAAGTTAACACAATATCACTGTAAATGTATAAGTTGGGAAGCTGTGTACTGTATAACATAAACTCCACCATTCTCGAAACGTTCCTTGAGTTGTATTTTCCTAATTAAATTTTTAATGATATGCATATTCATAAAAACACGCGATATTTGAGATAAAATTCACACCTAATTAATCATAACACACAAAATGTGGTTAAGAAAATACTTCAAAGTTACTTCCGAATCCAAGTGTGGTATGGAAACCGTCTTGGGCGTTGACAGATTGAGAATTCTTAGCAATACTATTGTTATAACCATGTATTGACCGCTAATTACATGTCTGGAGTGACGTCAGGACCTGTCAAACACAAGCCAGGAAATCCCAGGGTTTAGCGGGAATTTTCGGTTAAATGTATTCATAATGGTGTCATGTAAGGATGGGATTTTTATTACACTGGTAATAAAATTATCATCAATGAGACTGAAAAAAGTGTTATTACAGATTTGTCCTTAATACGTCCATATACATTATTGGTTGTCTGCACCAAGCTGAACTCATGAATATTCATTAGAAGACAGATGAAATGTAGATTACCTGTTATCTTCGATAATAAAAGTCACACAAGCATCAAAATTGAAACAGGACATTATTAAATCACAGGGTGATTATAGAATCAATCATTTAAAAATATGCACAATTAAGTTATAAGCAGATACAAAAGATAAGCCATTAAACTTACAATGTTAATCATTTGCTTTAGTAAACTTAACACAGATCTTAAACGTATCCATTTTCCCGGTAGGGTTGGGGGTCAAAGGAAATTTGCGAGCCGAAAAGTTTGTTGAAGTTTGATAAAACTCATCTGGACTTTCTAATATTTTCATTACTTTTTAGCTTCTATAGACCTTTCCTTTACATACAAATGAGCGCTATTGAAATCTTCTTCTCTGGAACCCATTTTCTAATAATGATTAAAGGAAACGGATGTCCTCTAGTCATCAGAAAAGACTATTTGAAAGTTTATTCGCGTCAAATCCTAAAGAAGCGAGCATTTGTAATATTTCACATGGCTGTTAGACACGCGTAACTTTTCTGATGACCATCAGTGATCAATGAATGATTATCATTCAGCTGAGCGTGAACTAACTTATTTTAGCTACAAACAGATTTGTTACTTTTAAAGCCAGTGCCACAGGTGCGTGATTACCATTAGTGTGAAAATACATATTTTGCTACTTAATCTTTCCCATGGTTCCATGAACTGCACCAGGAATACTGTTTTTCATTCGAGAAAAAAACACCAGACTAGTATAACTCCCAGTGACTAGATATTACCACGCACATTGAAACTATTTTCACGACGTCCAGTCTCTGTCGTTGAAATAAAGCCTCTTAGAAACTGCAAAAAACTGTTATAGACGCAGATTTAAACATTGTAATAGTTCTCACCTTTGATACAATGCAATTTTTTCAGACAATGCCTTTGTGTAACTGTTGTAGAGTTCGGCCGGACTCGGTATTTGTGTGACTTTCCTGTCGGTAGCAACGGAAGTCGGTTCAGCATCACGTTTGAACTAGGGTCAAAGTTTTCGACCGCCGACTGTAACGAATGCGAGTGTACAGCTGATGGTATGCGTTGTTGTGGGTAAGCAAGTCTGTTTATATTACATGTATCAATGGGGGAGGGGAGGGGAGGGGAGGGGGAGGTGAGGGGAAGTAACACTAGTTATGGCAACTGAAGGTGTTTGTTTGATTTCGCCTGACTTTTTTTTGGACGAACGCTCGACAGCAAGGCGACTTTGAATGTTTAGTAAGGCCAAACTCGAAGGATTGCAAATTAAACGTTACAAAACAACACTTAAGAAAGGAAAATTTTCACGTTTTCAAAAATATAACAATATTACATTGATGCTGGTGATAAAACAAAACCCGAACCTTGAAACTTTCTTGGGTTTCTACCTTTCATGAATCGCTTTTCTAAAGACATAGCCTTTAGCGTTTTTGTTTTGTTTAGGTTTTTGTAACATTAAATTCAAACACAAATATATCGAAGTTTTAATGCGAAGAAGAATAGATTATAGGTGTTAAGTGTCCACATCACAGATTCTGATCTTTATGGATTTTAGTTCCGACCGTTTTGCTTTCAGTTTCGGTATTAATTCTGGGGCTCCTGTTTTCGCTCCCGATGGTTGCCACGTGGTAGCTGATGGATGCAACGCCAGAGTGGTCTATAAGTCGGACAACCGGACAGACTGCTACGCCCAAAACTATGGATATAACCGCCGTTCAATGAGTCCCTACGCCAGACCATTCGACCCCTTCATGGATGCTTACGGTATGTTTGAAATGGGTGGACCAGGAAATGCGATGGGACAACGTAGGGGACAAGCCAACGGTGGAGGGGAGATGGAGTCGGAAGGTCTTCTGCCAATACTTTTACCATTGTTGATGGGGTCCTTTGGTGAGGCTGCAGCTTCGGCCCCGGTTGGAAGAAATTCGGAAGCTAACACTATGGCTGGTGGAGCAGGACCTCAGACAGGAGGAATGGTTGCCATGAATCAGCTCCCTCCTTTATTTCGACTTATGTTCTTGTCTAGTATGTTCTCTAGCTAAATATGACAGAATTAATTCTTATTTTATCAAACTCTTAGGACATTTTTGACGATTGTCGTAAAGCCACAAGTAAACTATTTATCACGTGATCTTAAAAATGCGCAGCTTACGCATGTCCCGGTTACAAAGACATCTAAAGACCTATTTTAGTAACAAACTTCGTCTTTTCTTACAAAGAATAGAGACACGAAGTGATTACGTTGTTATCTCTCTATGAAGATATGAAACTAATCCGCATAGATAAATGCATACTAGCAAACTACCTTTCTTTTAACTTGTAAGTTCGGAGTAAGCGGCTGCAGACTGCTAAGGTATATATTGTATATAGAAGGTTAGTTGTATGAATATTAAACATATCTTAGACTTTTACAAATCCCGGATTTTGTAATTTTTCATGCAAGAAAAATCAGCGTCTTTTTACTTACATGTTAATCTTAATTTGAAAAAAATATCATGCAACTTTTAACGTTGTCGTGGCGTCGTAAACAACAAAACGTCGCGCATCATTTGTGACAGAAGCTGTGGTGAGTTCTGTATGAGTGTGTGTATATCGCCTGATTTCAATAAAACGGATGTGACGTCAGACCTGTGGCTGTTCTTTCTATTAGATCCTGCTCATTACTATATTGTGTTAATGTCCGGAATCCGGTTCAGAGCGGAAGATCTGAGCACAACAAGAAGGAATTCAAAGCACGATGCCGGATTCAAATTGTAGTCATACATGTACTTGTTTGTACAAGTCAGATGATTACAAAATTAAGTATAATATTGATTTTATGACAGAAATACTTCGAAATGAAAAAAATAGCTCTGTATTCACTTAACTTTTTTTTATCTTATTGGACATGGTGTTTCTAAAGTGATATTTTAAGATATCACGTGACATATGGAGTTTTATATTTTGGCTATCTCACGTGGTAATAATATTCAGAAATATGTATTTTATGGACTGTCTCACGTGGTTATGTTCTTCAGAAATATAATGCTATCATCTGTCTCACGTGGTTATGTTCTTCAGAAATATAATGCTATCATCTGTCTCACGTGGTTATGTTCTTCAGAAATATAATGCTATCATCTGTGTCGCGTGGATAAGTTCTCCAAATATAAAATAATGTCGACTCTCTCTCTCGTGGTAATGTTTTGAAAAAATCTTCTCTTTTATAATCAATGTTTATTGCCTTCAGGAATGTTACTGTACAGACTTGCAATAATAATATCGTCCAAAGAAAAACTTATGAATGAAGATATATAAGTTTAGAGTCGGCCACGGACACACTGTCCGTTCACGTGACAGTCCACACCTCGAGGTGGTACTATGTCAAACAAGATATTTCGTCAACACCGTCCTAATACGCAGCCCGGAGCCGTACTGTAATACCTCTCTGATACATCAGTCACGTGATGCACAGCTGTAGTCAGGATAAAAGCTCCATTCTCACACTGCAAGACCATCTTCACGTTTTCGTACAGGTGAACCAGCTTCTGAGATTATTTTATCAATATAAGCGTTTTATCAGTTTTTATTGTGAGCACGTGACTACTACTTCACATTGGTTGTGAAAGAGGTACAAACTTATTTCATTTCCCCCCAAAAAAACATGTATAATCACACAATTTATCTATATATGAAGGCCTGGTTTTATATCATTGCAAATAAACGATCATTGTAATCTCCTGTCACGGAGAACTGTCATTCTGTGATGAATCGGTATGTCCGGAACGTCCTAACACAGGACAATACATCATTTGATTATCAATGCATCATCTGTATAATTATAGACTATAAACGCCGTCTTTTTGGAAATTCAAATCACTTGTCATTTATATAATATAAATCTTAATATTTGTACGAGAGGTCCAAAAAAAATGGTCCTCGTCTGAAAAAATCCGTAAACTGTATTTAGGTTTCCTGTGATCTTTAGGGAGATACTACAGAAAAAGTGTAAAAAGGGAGAAGGACCGCATGAATGTTCTGTTTCTCTCACGTGTGTAGACCTTACGGTCACCAGCAAGCTGTTGCCTCTATATATGTTATTGGTTGTGTTTTGTCATAATATGCATGAAGACGGCTGTGAGGAATGAAAATATTAACGGGTTGACTTCTCAATCATCTAATCAATACACAAAATTAATTTAATTTAATATCTATGCATGTCTGTATTTATATCTGCTTGAAACGACAAGCCTAATATGTATAAAACACCGTTTACCTCTGCCTTGTTAATCCGGGTCAATATAGTTTTTCGATGGCATGTTTGTCTGGTTGGTTTCTTTTTGTAGTAATAATGACAAAACTGTAGGCTGACGTGAAGAACTACCATACAACTTTCTATTGTGACAATGGTCACTATAAACGAGGTAAATTAAGTGATGTTCTTTGAATAAATGATCCCGAAGAGAATCCTAAAATAGAGAAAACAAACCACAATTTATCGGGACATTGCCCATGCACACGTATATTTTCGTTATTATAATTAAAAATGGCATGAGTTTTACTTCTGTTTAAAAGCCGTCAATCTTATTAAAAATGGGTCTTCCGGTTTCACATGCAACTGACTTGTCACATGACTTCACAGATATCGGATCACACCCATCTCCAATGATCTCACATCCGGGATAGGTTGCTATGACTCCCGCCCGATAACCAAACCTGACAATAACACAACCAGAGATAGAATGACGTCATATCGTCATCAACAACTGGCAACTGACAGTCACTGTATCTACATTTAATTATCTACTCACACTTAACCTAAGTCACTACTGATCACTGACAATCAATTCTCTAAAAATATTTACCAGTGACTACCTATCACTGACAATTAGTACTCTACTGGTAATTACCAGTGACTACCTATCACTGACAATCAGTAATTACCAGTGACTACCTATCACTGACAATCAGTAATTACCAGTGACTGCCTATCACTGACAATCAATTCTCTACCAGTAATTACCAGTGACTACCTATCACTGACAATCAGTACTACCAGTGATTACCTATCACTGACAATCAATTCTCTACTAGTAATTACCAGTGACTACCTATCACTGACATTCAGTACTCTACCAGTAATTACCAGTGACTACCTATCACTGACAATCAGTAATTACCAGTGACTACCTATCACTGACAATCAATTCTCTACTAGTAATTACCAGTGACTACCTATCACTGACATTCAGTACTCTACCAGTAATTACCAGTGACTACCTATCACTGACAATCAATACTCTACTACTAATTACCAGTGACTACCTATCACTGACAATCAATTCTCTACTAGTAATTACCAGTGACTACCTATCACTGACATTCAGTACTCTACCAGTAATTACCAGTGACTACCTATCACTGACAATCAGTACTCTACTACTAATTACCAGTGACTACCTATCACTGACAATCAATTCTCTACTAGTAATTACCAGTGACTACCTATCACTGACAATCAGTACTCTACCAGTAATTACCAGTGACTACCTATCACTGACAATCAGTTCTCTACTAGTAATTACCAGTGACTACCTAACACTGACAATCAATTCTCTACTAGTAATTACCAGTGACTACCTATCACTGACAATCAGTACTATCAGTGACTACCTATCACAGACAATCAATTCTCTACTAGTAATTACCAGTGACTACCTATCACTGACAATCAATTCTCTACTAGTAATTACCAGTGACTACCTATCACTGACAATCAATTCTCTACTAGTAATAACCAGTGACTACCTATCACTGACAATCAGTACTCTACCAGTAATTACCAGTGACTACCTATCACTGACAATCAGTACTACCAGTCACGACCTATCACTGATAATCAGTACTTCTAGTAATTACCAGTGACTACCTAACACTGACAATCAATTCTCTACTAGTAATTACCAGTGACTACCAATCACTGACAATCAATTCTCTACTAGTAATTACCAGTGACTACCTATCACTGACAAATAGTACTTCCAGTCACGACCTATCACTGATAATCAGTACTTCCAGTAATAACCAGTGACTACCTATCACTGACAATCAGTACTCTACTAGCAATTACCAATGACTACCTATCACTGACAATCAGTACTTCTAGTAATTACCAGTGACTACCTATCACTGACAAACAGTACTACCAGTTACGACCTATCACTGATAATCAGTACTTCTAGTAATTACCAGTGACTACCTATCACTGACAATCAATTCTCTACTAGTAATTACCAGTGACTACCTATCACTGACAATCAGTACTTCTAGTAATTACCAGTGACTACCTATCACTGACAATCAGTACTTCTAGTAATTACCAGTGACTACCTATCACTGACAATCAGTACTCTACTAGTAATTACCAGTGACTACCTATCACTGACAATCAGTACTACCAGTAATTACCAGTGACTACCTATCACTGACAATCAATTCTCTACTAGTAATTACCAGTGACTACCTATCACTGACAATCAGTACTCTACTAGTAATTACCAGTGACTACCTATCACTGACAATCAGTACTCTACCAGTAATTACCAGTGACTACCTATCACTGACAATCAGTACTCTACTAGTAATTACCAGTGACTACCTATCACTGACAATCAGTAATTACCAGTGACTACCTATCACAGACCATCAGTACTACCAGTAATTACCAGTGACTACCTATCACTGACAATCAGTAATTACCAGTGACTACCTATCACAGACAATCAGTACTACCAGTAATTACCAGTGACTACCTATCGCTGACAATCAGTACTCTACCAGTAATTACCAGTGACTACCTATCACTGACAATCAGTACTCTACTAGTTATTACCAGTGACTACCTATCACTGACAATCAGTAATTACCAGTGACTACCTATCACTGACAATCAGTACTACCAGTAATAACCAGTGACTACCTATCACTGACAATCAGTACTCTACTACTAATTACCAGTGACTGCCTATCACTGACAATCAGTACTACCAGTAATTACCAGTGA